CTTATTAAAAGGCTTCTTGCCGCAAAATGAAAAAATAGACACAAAAACAGTGTTCTGAGTTGTAACAGTTTATTCATTTTTTCATTCAGCTGACAGAAACGAAAACAGATAAATGGAGGCATGGCACCAAACCCCACCCCTAAACCCAACACTCATTGGAGGATGTGCAAATCATACTAATTAGTATTACAATTTCATACAAATTAGCCACTGAATCAAAAGTTATGAATTGCCGTGAGATGTTGGTATGACGGCAACAACTTTTATCGATTTTTACACTAGTGAAATTGAGTAAGGGATAAAGTACATCCAGGCGGTTGTTATCGCAAAATAAACTGGAGCAATGTTTTATAAGACTGTAGGGCTTTATTTTGCGAAAACGACCACCTGGATGTACTTTATCCCACTTATTAAATGGCTTCTTACCACAAAAAAAATAGACACAAGACATTATTCTGAGTTGTAATAGTTTATAAATTTTTTATTAATTTGATGACAAAAACGAAAACTGCTGAATGGCTTTTAAAAAACACTGTTAGGAAGGTTTTAGGTCAGTGGTCTGTACGACAAGCCCTGCCGCCTTGTGGACATATACAAGAAGGACGTGTATCTGAAACATACAACAAAACATACACTAAGTAATGTATTTGAGATATGTGAAAGTGTAGACTGTGCCCTCTAGTGGATTTGACATCTGAAACATGCAATAAAACGTACCCGGAGCAACGTATTTTACGTTAAAAATTTAGGCTAAGGCATGTATTTCCAATGAGCCTGGGTTGCAATTAACAATTGTTTGATGATATATTTGACAGGACATTTAATTACGTTTTGGAACTGTAAAAAGCAACTTCGATCTCTGCGTTGACAACGTCTGATGCCAGTTTGAGCAGTAAGTCAAAAAAAAAAAGTTAAACATTTACAAACTGACATTATAAGTTTTTTGAAACAATTTTTCTGGGCTGGTCATATAAATTTTGGTACAAAAACAGGTATCGAGGTGACATTTTAAGGTTTATGCTAATTTTAAAACGGGACTGGCATTATAGAGTATTTAAATTACACAGAATGACAATGCATAGAGGTTGGATTGGACATTCAAATTAATATATTTAATTAAGATTAGGGGTCATAAATAAAAGCAAGGACAATCTAAACGTAAGATAGTGTAAATGTAATTTTACAAAGTCTTTATTAACATTATAGAGTATCATCTAACATTTAAAGTCAGTTTTTGTTTTTTTCCGTGTGTGTGTGTGTGTGTGTGTGTGTGCGTGTGTGTGTGTGTGTGTGTGTGTGTGTGTGTGTGTGTGTGTGTGTGTGTGTGTGTGTGTATGTGTGTGTGTGTGTGTGTGTGTGTGTGTGTGTGTGTGTGTGTGTGTGTGTGTGTGTGTGTGTGTGTGTGTGTGTGTGTGGATTTATAAAGAATTAATTAAATTTATTATATTAAAGGTTTGTTACCAAAGCTTAATAATTCAAAAAAGTTTTGTTGGCTTTAAAATTCTTAATGAAAAAATAATAATAATTATGGTTCATGAAAAAAAATCAAGCGATACAAACTGTTTTTAAAAATAAATAATAATAATAAAAATAATTAGAAAAATTTATTTTAGAATTATTTCTGAAGGATGATGTCACATTGACTAGAAGGCTGGAGTAATAGCGCTGAAGCTTTGAATCACAGGAATGAATTACATTTTACTGTATTAACAACATTGGGTGTTTCCCAGTACTGGGTTGCAGCTGGAAGGGCATCTGCTGCGTAAAATAGTTGGCAGTTCATTCCGCTGAACTAAGCCAAAGAAAAATGAATGAATGAATAAACATTCTTTCTTTGAATGTCATTAAGATTAAACTAAGGATTTTTAAAAATAGACATGACCTATGACCTTGTCATAATGATCGGACTGTACATTAATCGCCTCAGCATGGCATTTACTCTGACCGATGTTTATTCCCTCATCCTAGATAAAGACTAGTTAACTATTTGTCTGTGAGAAAGCTCATTTAGCCGACCACCAGAGATCCTGACCTACAAGGGCTTGAATGAAGGCGCTAAGGGGCCGTTTGGAGTTGAGGCCCTAAGATAACTGTGAACTAATTTTACTGCAGACGAGCCCCGAAGAATACACCCACAGATCCCTTCATTCCACTTCAGACTTCTATATGAAATCATCACAGAATTTAGAGATGACCTATTTATTTTCTCTATTTTCCCTTGCTCCATCTCATCCTGACGAACAAAAGTGTGTGTGTGTGTGTGTGTGTGTGTGTGCGTGTGTGTGTGTGCGTGTGTGTGTGTGTGTGTGTGTGTGTGTGTGTGTGTGTGTGTGTGTGTATGTGTGTGTTGTGGATGTGGTCCCACTCTGGAGACTTGGAGCTGCATTTCTGAGCCATATGTATCAGTTTCACTCTTCTCATCTTCTGAAAACTCAAGCTGTGATTTTCGTTTCGTACACATCACTTTCATCTTTGATTTTATGTCATATACATGATGTTATAGTTGTTCTAGCAGGAGATGAAAGGACATGAAAAATGTGCCAAAAAGTAATTACATTTTTTTAAAGCATTTCTTTGAGGTTTGTAGAGAACTAAACGCTGTTAAAGCAGCACTATGGTGCCACCTCCTGGAAATCTTGAGACTACAGACATCTCTTTCTTTTCTGTTTACCCAAATATATAGGAGTTTATATACATTCTGTTTTTATATTTGCTATGATTTGCATATGTGGCCCTATTAATGGTTTCATCCCTGTCCTTAAAACCTGGATTCCAGTAAATTAGCTTTGACTTGCACATTTGGTGGATGTTTTGGCCCAGATCTCTTTGCCCTTTACTTTTCCCCAATGTAGCACAGACGTCTGCATATTTACCCTTGAAATGACAAATTGCAAATGATTTCTTTGTAATTTTACTCAACCAATGGCAGGACGAAACATGAAATAAAACACATCATTCACATGACTGCAGTATGTTCTAAAGGGTTTGTCCATCTTGTTTTCTGATCAACAAAAGCACAATAAAAATGGCAAGAAATGCAGTATGCACTGCTTTAATGAGCATTGTTTTCTGGTGGGTTGATGTGTTGCTGATGAAGGTTATTTCACTGTTCTCCTAAAGGGATGTAGTTCGCCTAAAAAGTCAGATTCAGATATCATTTTCTGTTTCTTGGTAAACCTGCCACTTTATTAGGTACACCTGTGCAACTGCTCGTTAACGCTAATTTCTAATCAGCCAATCACTTGGCTGCAACTCAGTGCATTTAGACATGTAGACATGGTCAAGATGACCTGCTGCAGTTCAAACTGAGCATCAGAATGGGGAAGAAAGGTGATAGAAGTGACTTTAAAAGTGGCATGGTTGTTGGTGCCAGACTGGCTAGTCTGATTATTTCAAAAACTGCTCATCTACTGGGATTTTCACGCACAACTATCTCTAGGGTTTACAGAGAATGGTCCGAAAAAGAGAAATGTCCAGTGAGCGGCAGTTCTGTGGGTGCAAATGCTTTGTTGATGCCAGAAGTCAGAGGAGAATGGCCAAATGATAGAAAGGCAACAGTAACTCAAATAACCACTCGTTACAACCGAGGTATGCAGAAGAGCATCTCTGAACACACAACACGTCCAACCTTGACACAGATGGGCTACAGCAGCAGAAGACTACACCGGGTGTCACTCCTATCAGCTAAGAACAGGAAACTAAGGCTACAATTCGCAAAGGCTCACCAAAATTGGACAATAGAAGATTGGAAAAAAAGTTGCCAGCTCTGATGAGTCTCGATTTCTGCTGCGACATTCAGATGGTAGTGTCAGAATTTGGCGTCAACAACATGAAAGCATGGATCCATCCTGCCTTGTATCAAGAGTTCAGGCTGCTGCTTGAATGGTGTGGGGGAAATTTTCTTGGCACATTTTAAGCCCATTAGTATCAAGTGAGCATTGTGTCAATGCCACAGCCTACATGAGTATTGTTGCTGACCATGTCCATCCCTTTATGACCACAATGTACCCATCTTCTGAAGGCTACTTCCAGCAGGATAACGCACCATGTCATAAAGCACAAATCATCTCAGACTGGTTTCTTGAACATGACAAATGAGTTCACTGTACTCAAATGGCCTCCACAGTTCCCATATCTCAATCCAATAGAGCACCTTTGGGATGTGGTGGCGCGAGAGATTAGCATAATGGATGTGCAGTCGACAAATCTGCAGCAACTGCGTGTTGAGGCAGTTCTGAAGGCAAAAGGGGATCCAACCTGTAAGGTGTACCTAATATAGTGGCCGGTGAGTGACTACTTTTTACAGTGGTAATCCTGACTTACTTACTGATTTCTTGCTCTGAATCTCCTTTGGAAGTCATTAGCCTAATCATTTTGCTAATATATAGAAGATAATACCTTATTTCTCTAGTTTCTCTTTCCTTTACAGAGCACAGTGGTTTTCAGAATGTTATTTATTCCTTTTTATTTTACATGTTTGTTGATGTATATTTTCAGTGCAAAACAATACATGAACTGACACCCATATGGCCTCACGTTCTGAGAAACGCTGCTTCTAATCAATCATTTTAGGCCACAAAAATCTGAGAAGTCCTGGGAAAATTTACTAGTATTGTAGTCATAAATAAGGATGTTAACTCAAGGTTTACCTTTCCCTTTTTTACCCTAAATAAATTAGGAGCTATCAGAAACATAAAGAAAGGTAAGTGTGGGGTGAAAACTTTTAGTGATTTGTTATTTTGCTAGTTTGAAACTCTTGAAAAGAATATAATGAAATAGCTTAGACAATAAAATGACATGAAAAAAATTCCGGCCTGGTTACTAAAGTAATTTCAGATGTTTGATTTCTAACATAAATTATAAAAAGTATGTTATAATTAAACTTAAGGTTTATATTTTTACATTGGAGTGGTTGATATGAGACATTGAACACTACTTGTCATGCAAGTTACATGCAGACCTCATTTGTGCTGTTAATTAATAAGTGATGCACTGTAAAATCTGTTTATATATTTTTTTAATATGAATCACATTCTGTTCACAGTACAAGATATTTGTGTATACTACACAAAAACAACAGAGGTTTTAGCAAGATTGTTTTCCCTAATCTCAAGATATACACATTCAAGTGCAAAACAAAGCTGGTTCCATTTAAACACACTATATAAACTGTATAAAGCACTTGTGCAAAACATCACAAAAGCAAATAGCCTAATTAAAAATTGTGATTTCTAAAGGGGATTCGAATGAGATTTCTCTTGCCATCGTTTGTCTAGAAGATCTGATGAAATGTAGGCTAAATATTTCTAAAAACATGCATTTCAGCCTTTACAATTAAACAACCCGACAAAAACGATATTTGTTAAACATGAACTAATACTTTACAATCGACAACAAAGGTTGAAAGATGTTTGGATTTGGTTGTGATATGACAGACATGTCCTCCACAGGTTTTAAGGATAAAGAGCAGCGCTGCACGTCCCTTCAGAATCTCAGATATAAAGGTCAGTGTTTGAAAGCTGCACATTCTCAAGTTTGTTCCAGTCACGTGTTCTATAACATCCAGACAAACACGTTCGTGTATGTTTGTCACATCCAGAGAGGATTCGATTGGCAAATAAGCTAAGCGTCTACGTTTGTAACTGACGGCCATTTTGTCTTTCGAAATGTTTAATTTTTGCAAAGAAATTTTACTCTCAAATTGAAAATTATTTTATTTACTCATTCAAGATGTGTTTTTGTTTCTTCTGTAACATATATATTATTTATCTTTTTTGTCGAAACCATAACTAGGTGACTGGAATGCAAGTCAACGATTACAATAGAACACACAGGACGGTTTGCTATGACTGTTATATTGGTACAAACATTACATGGTATAATGTTGTTAATCATGTTCATTTTCTGCACAGTACTGATAGTTTATCTTCTTACGACTTCAATATAACACCAAGATTCACAGGTATGCATTTCGTTTTGTCTGTATGATTTATTTTGTGTTAATTAACTCTAAAAATCTCCTTTAATGACAAAAAGAAAGGAAATATTTACCTTATTCTTGAATGCCCTGAGGGCAAATAAATCTTTTTTTTTTCACATTTTCAACTGTTATAATAACAACTACTTCCAAATGTAATCAACTACCCATACAAAAATCAAGTACTTTATTCATATTGGTGAGCGTCACAGATTGTTACTTGAGCATTTGCTGTAAAACATTACACTTTGTGAGAAAGTCTCATAAATATTTATTTCCCTCTGAAAACAAAATAATAATGTAAAAACATGTTAAATTCGGCACAGGAAACACTTCACATTGCAGAGAGTCTCTATAGAGGACTACTTTTTACTAAATCTGAATGCTGCACAATTTCCATGAAATATCAAAAATCTGCAGTGCACCGAGATTTCATTCTGATGTCAGATAATGCCACGTGTACATTCACAGGATCATATTGTGTTGTGTCTGCTGAAAGAACAGCCATGAACTGAGGACAGACGATGGTAAAAATGATGAAGATGATGAGGTCATGCAGAGCTAGGTTTCTCCTCCTGCGTTTCCTCTTTATCTGATGATTCTTCCTTGTTCTCTAAATCAAAGTTCTGCAGAAACAAGTGAGTAAAATCAGTGGTGTGTATTATTTTGAGAAGAGTGTGGTGTTTAGTGTTTACGCGCACCTCTAGTTCCCTCATGACTTCATCCATAAAGTCGCTGGAGTTCCTCTTGTAGGACAGCGCCATCTGAATAGCGTCTTTAAACACCTGAGGAACATTAAAGAGCAGCAGAACACAAGGATAAAATCTTAATTGTGAAACACATTAAATAGAAGTTTAAAGGTAGACTAAGTTTAAGATTGCTAAGTTTAAGCTAGTCTGGCACTGGTTTGGAAATGATATAAACACAAATGTGAATCAAAATAGACATTGGAATATACACTCACCCTGACACTTTATTAGGTACACCTCTCCAACTGCTAATTAACGCAAATTTTTAATCAGCCAATCACATGGCAGCAACTCAATGCATTTAGGCATGTAGACATGGTCAAGACGATCTGCTGCAGATCAAAGCGAGCATCAGAATCAGGAAGAAAGGTGATTTAAGTGACTTTGAACATGGCATGATTGTTGGTGCCAGACGGAATGGTCTGTGTATTTCAGAAACTGCTGATCTACTGGGGTTTTCACGCACAACCATCTCTAGGGTTTACAGAGAATGGTTCGAAAAAGAGAAAGTATCAAGTGAGCCTCAGTTCTGGGGGCACAAATGCCCTGTTGATGCCAGTGGTCAGAGGAGAATGGCCAGACTGGTCCAAGCTGATAGAAAGGCAACAGTAACTCAAATAACCACTTGCTACAATCGAGGTATGTAGAAGAGCATCTCTGAATGCACAACACGTCCAACTTTGAGGAGGATGGGCTACAGCGGCAGAGCTGAGGCTACAATTCATGCAGGCTCACCAAAATTGGATAATAGAAGATTGGAAAAACATTGTTTGGTCTTATGAGTCTCGATTTCTGCTGCGATATTTAAATAGTAGGGTCAGAATTTGGCATCAACATCATGAAAGCATAGATTCATCCTGGCTTTTATCAACGGTTCAGGCTGGTGGTGGTGGTGGTGTAATGGTGTGGGGGATACTTTCTTGGCACACTTTGGGCCCATTAGTACAAATTGAGCATCGTGTTATTGCCACAGCCTACCTGAGTATTGTTGCTGACTATGTCCATCCCTTTATGATCACAGTGTATGCATCTTTTGATGGCTACTTCCAGCAGGATAACTCACCATGTCATAAAGCTTGAATCATCTCAGACTGGTTTCTTGAACATGACAATAAGTTCACTGTACTGTGCCTCCACAGTCACCATGTCTCAATCCAATAGAGCACCTTTGGGATGAGGTAGAACGGGAGATTTGCATCCTGGATGTGCAGCCGACTAATCAGCAGCAACTGCGTGATGCTATCATGTCAATATGGACAAAATCTCTGAGGAATATTTCCAGTACCTTGCTGAATCTATGCCACAAAAGATTAAGGCAGTTCTAAAGGCAAAAGGGTGTTCAACCTGGTACTAGTAAGGTGTACCTAATAAAGTAGCCAGTGAGTCTATCTATAGAGGCTGGGATGACTGTTAGTTGTTTTGTTTGTTTGTTTTGTAATAAGAATAATTGATTAATGAGCTTATAAATCTGCTGTCTACAAAAAAAGAAGCAAAAGAGAAATTGCCCTGTTTTTTTTTCTGTCCAATAATAAGGTTTAACATCAGAAAGCTTTGGGGGAAAGAAACTAGCATGTAGTACAATTTTTATTGTGTAATAATAATAGAATATTTATTTTGTATTAGTATTACTTTTTTAGTAATTACTTTTTAGATTTTTTTTTTTAAAATGTGACGCATTACAGGGCTCGAAATTAACCTTTTTTCTTGGTAGCACCGATGCTCCTAACTCCAAAACTTTAGTCACATCCACCAAAAATTATGAGCACCGTTACCACAAGTTTTATAATAACAGATTCTATTATATATTAACACTTTAAACCAACAAATAAACAAAAATCTGCATGCGCTCACCGGCCCTGCACACACTGCTTGACATGAATTGCTTAATAGCAATAACGGTCTTTTCATGAGCTGCAATATTAGTTTCATCTCAGTGAATGCATGCTCTTTAGCAATGGTGAACGCCATGTCAGTCGCACGACTGAAAGATTAAATAACGTTAAAACATCTCATGCTTAAAATGTGTAGATTCAGTGGCAAACACTGTTAACTGAAAACTCTGTCAGACCGGCTTTACGGCAAATGGTTTTAGTCATTTTGATAGTGGACTTTAACCACTGGAAGTCTTTTATCCACTCTTCGAAAAGTGTAAATGCTGGATTGACATTCATTAGTTGTGCCATTATTTATAAGTTTAGGTTGTTTCTAAAACTAAATCTGTCACTGTTGTTTTCATTCTCTCGTATCAAGACCTTTACATTTTCACGGCTGTAGCTCCCTGTCATCGGAACTGAGTGATTGACAGCTGATATTAACCAATCCATTCGCGTTCTGTTCTAGAGCAGTGGGCCAATAAGAAGAACTTGATGGCGGAGGAAGCATTGCGTGCTTTGTTTACTGCAGCAAGTTGACATGTCAACTGTTTTAAACCATTCCTGAGCGCTGCGTTTGTTGTTTTTAGGTACAAAGATGCCTAATGCGTGAATGCCTCCTAATGATGATTCCACTACTCCATGTTATACTCCAATTGCATGTGGTGAACGTTTTGCTGTGAAAACTGGTCGCATGACATCCAATTTTATGCACTTGCACAAATGCTCCCAAATATATTTTGAGGTCGCGTAGATACTATTTCGGGTGCATTTTCGAGCCCTGCATAATAATTTTAGTAACATTATTACTCTTTGAGTTCAAAAGTATTAAAGTAATAAATAATAATAGAAATTACAACCATGTTAGACCCTAAATACATTAACTTTTTTTTTTTATTTCTATAAATGTAATGTAATTCAACTTTAAGATAGTAATAATGTGCACATTTTTGTAAAGTTTCTTTAGATCGATAATTATTGTCAAAAGCGCTATACAATAAAACTTGAATAAATGTAAACAAACACTACTGATAAAACTTCTGCTATTCTTTTTGACAGCTTATAATTTACTTTAACACTAAAAACAAAACTAAACAGTATTATACTGAAAACTGCCGATATGTGATGACATAAACTGAAAAGAAAGATGAAAAGGGGAGATGTATGGACAATACGGATATTAATACAAACGTTCTGAATGCTACTGAATATGTTTACATAAAGATACATTTATTGGGAATTTCTATAATAATATATAGCTAAACTATATTCACAAGTCTGATTCGAATTCATTAAACTTTTCATTAATTTTTAAATTAAGCATTATAAAGGCATTATTCTTCCTGGTGTTCATCCTCACCTTTACCACATTGGTTCCATCAGCAGCAGATACAAAGTAGAAAGGCAGGCCTTGTTTCTTAGCGAAGTTGAAGCTCTTCTGCGTGACCTTCATGTCAGCTTTAAAACACATGAAGAATAGAAGATAAGACACATGCAAACCACAATGCTCGTATTGTAATCTCGGGTATAAAGCACATTTACCATCAATCTTATTGGCCACTACCAGACACGGGATCTCGGGCCGGTACTCGCGCAGCTCTTTATACCAGACAGTGAGATTCTTATATGTGATTTTCCTCTGCACATCAAACACCTGTAGAAAAAGCAAGATAAATTCATTGTATTAGCTTTTTTGTTTTTTAGGAAAATCATTTATTGTAAACAGTTTAATCAAACAGTTTTGGACAAACAAAAAAAAAGAAAAAAAAAAAGAAAAAATCTGCTACATTCTCTCCAGCAATCTTCACTTTGACTCAATAACATGGTGTAGAGTGCATGTGTGTTTTGTTAGTGGCAATTAATTAGCTACACAAATTAATCATACAAATAATACATTTTTATACTTTTTTATAATTTTTTCAATTACACCAAATTACATCTTTAGACAACAAAATTAATTCAGCTTTATTTGTATAGCGCTTTTACAATGTAGATTGTGTCAAAGCAGCTTCACATAAATGGTCATAGTAACTGGAACAGTGTGGTTCAGTAACTGGAACAGTGTAGTTCAGTTTTTAGTGTTTAAGTTCAGTTCAGTTCAGTTTAGCTCAGTTCAGTGTGATTTAATCATTACTGAGAGTTCAAACACTGAATTAAGTTATGGTCTATAAAAAGTCTAAATGAACTCGTCCTAACTGAATTAAAATTATCTGGAGTATTATTTGCAACCCCAGGCTCAGTCTGAAAACGTAGTCCCATGGATGTTTCTGGAGACTGCAAATTATGTAGCTGGAGGTACGTATGGCTGCATTTCATTTCTTAAGTGAACGCTACGGTGCGGTATGATGCCGTTCCTTTCCGCGATTTCCCGCCGCAACCAGTTTGTCCAGTTAGCTCGTCGTGTATGCTGACGGACTTGAGATGCAGAGAGGAGCTGACCACGACGACGATGACCGGCCTCTCGTGGATTCACAAAAAAAAAATGCAAAAATACGTACCTCCTTGGACGTATTTCGCAGTCTCCAGAAACGTCCACGGGACTACGTTTTCAGAATGAGCCTGGGTTGATTATTTGATATCATTAAATTAAAAAATCTGAAAGCTAATAATAAACATAAAATTGACAAGAAATGCACTTAAAAATGTAACTATAATGAAATATAATTTTTTTTAAAAGTCTGTTTTACTACATTAAAAATCAACAAAATGGAGAACAACTAATTCTAAAACACCAACATCTGAGTGGTTTCTCTTACCATGACACAAGCATGAGATTTATGATAGTACGACGGGTGCATGCTTCGAAAACGCTCCTGTCCTGCAGTATCCCAGAAATCTGTGATGCAGATAGACATGTGCTTAACAGCACAGCTTCAACCCACACTTTAAAGTTATTATGTACTCAAAACCTGAACGCTAAACATTGCAATACACAATTGTACAACCGACCAACTACTCACCAACTAGAATGGTCTGTCCATTGATGGTGGTGGTGTATTTGTACAGAGTCAAAGCGTAAGTGGAGAGTTGCTGAGGCCGACTGATACATTCAGTTAAGATTCTGTCAACTTCCAGAAACACATTTGTACATTTGAGTGTGTATGCATGTGTTTGAGTAAAACACTTTTTATGATATACAATACAATACTGCCCAAATTTGTAATAACAACGTTATAAATTAAAGCAATTTTTTTGTGAAGGAGGTATGAAATCTACATTTGGTGGGGAAGACTCATTTTTCAAATACAACTATTAAAATGATTTGTATTTCGGAACAATTCTTTTCTGTAATTTTCTTGAAAAATAATAAATAATACATCTTCAAGATGCCAAAATTTGTATTGTGAGGAAATGTTAGTAAAGCTTTTTTATTTTTAGAACACAATTCGGCTGAAAAGTATCGGCTGACTGAAACCAAAATTTAATTTTCTGAAAACTAAAAAAGCTAAGGGTAAAGATTTTTTTTCTAAAACTCTGGCAACAGTGTTGTCCTGTGGACACAACAACTGAAGCTTTTGCCTAATGATGTTAGCATGTTCACTGTTTTCTCCTTTCGCATTAACCAACACGGCTGGGTTCACACCAAATGCGGAAGATGCGAATGAGGCAAATTCTGCATGCAAACGCATTGCGTTTTCCCCATTGCTTTAAACCGCAGGACAGTATTTAACTTTAAACTGTTTTATACACAGATGTACGTGTGCTTATGGACATGGACTTATTATTTTTTTGACACTCAACCACTCTCAATGGAGTTATGATAACCCAAAACGCCATTGGCTGTTTTTTTTTTAAGGGGAGGAGCTACACTATGCCCCACCCTCTCAAAATAAGCAAGTTATTTCATATTACAAAAATTTGTTACACTGAAATTTACTGTACATTTTGAGATGTTCTACTTGAATTACTTGCTTTAAAATGTGCATTTTTATTCGACTTTAACGTAATCTTAACTAAAAAATAAATAGATGGTTTATCGCAGCTCTGCCAGTGGAAGTGGTTGAGCTCAAGAACATTAAGGTAAAGTCTAGATCGGATACGTGGCCAGCCGGAAATGCGATATGCACATCAATATAGCAGCATTTTTTATGACACTGTATAACAGTAATTTAAATTTTTACAGTACTGTGATGGTTGGGGGTAGGCATTAAAAAATACAATTTATTGGGTTATTTAATAGATAACAAATAGTACTTGGTACACCTACTGTTTTTACATTATTGTGATGATTGGGTTTAGGGTAGGGGTAGTGGTAGGGGTTGACGTTAAAAGAATACAATAAATGGGAAATTTAATATATAATTTTATATAATTTAATATATCTATAATTTAATATATCTCATTAACTTCCGGCCGTAACCATATCCAATCTTGCAACAACTGAACATCAAATGAAAAGCAAATGAGAAGTGTCTTGAAGGGGGCGTGGCATGTCAGTTACTAGAACGCATTTGATTGATCAAGATTTGATGAGAAACTGAAGTACGAGGTGACGTGAAAAAATCGTTTATGAATTTAAGTGGAAGTGACTAACTGCAAGTGATCAGAGATTGGAAAAATTTGTTTCACACTTAACCCTTCTCTAAGAAATAGAAAGCTTTAGCATCTTTATTAGAATGAAATAACCTCTATTCCTCATGTCATATTTCACTGGAATAATTTATTTAATGACATTCCTTGGAAGATTGTGTGGTCTTTACCCAACAAATTTTTAATTACAAATAAGGTTAAAGAGGTTTCCTTCAAATTGCTAAATTGAGTTTATCCAGTGAATGTTTATATTTAAAAATGCATCATGAAAAGGATCCCCTTTGTTCCTTTTGTGGAATAATAGATAAATCTGTAGATCATCTTTTTTGGGAATGTGCCCATGTCAAGATTTTTTGGAGAGAATTCAGTTTATTTATTTGTAAATATTTTAAATCCTTTTTCTTTGTCATACAAGGATGTTTTATTTGGTTTTTATCATCATGATACAGTTAAAGATAAATATTTTCTAATAAATCTATTTATTTTACAAGCAAATTTTTTTAAACACAATTGCTAGTTTTTTTTTTTTGTCTGTAAATGCCCTTTTTCTTATTTTTTAGCAAAAATTTAAAATATTATTTAAATACAATCTCTACCTTCAGCCATGTTAAAGCTTTCAAGAGTTCACACTTAGCTGATGATTGGTAATAAGCTAGTTTGGCATGCTTTCCCAGGAGAGAGCCCCGAGCTCAAAAGATCCTTGAGCCCGGAGCTCCCTCCTTTTGCAGGGCGAGAGGGGAGTTTGAGCTTGGGTAGATCTCGAGAACCCCCCCTCCTCCTCCTGCTACATAAGGATTGCTAAGGTGATGTGTTGCTGACAGAATTGAATTTGGTGCTAATTTGGTTTTGTCAATTTACTTAAGTCTTATGTTTTTGGGAGTGTGGGAGGAAACCGGAGGACCCGGGGAAAACCCACGCAAGCACGGGGAGAACATGAACTCCACACGAAAATGCTGTCCGGTTGGGTGGATACCCGAGTCGGAGGCATTTTTTTGCTGTGAGGCCACAGTGCTAGCCACTGGGCCGCCGTGCTGCCCTGTAGAAAAGAGGAGAAGAAGGGATGGAAGAGGGGAATCTTCAAGACGAAGATGACTAAAGGGAAGATGTTTGGTTATTTATACTGGGTTAGGAATAGTCTGATTGGTGGTTCGTACATTAGCTTGACTCGGGGCCAGCCGTGTCAATCATAAGCACGAGATCCTCTCGAAATTAGTTTATGAATAAACTTCACTTAAAATCAATAACACAGCCATATCACCCTGTAGCCCAAGACCGGTTACTCACTGAAGCTAAGCAGGGCTGAGCCTGGTTAGTACCTGGATGGGAGACCACTAGGGAACACTAGGTTGCTGTTGGAAGTGGTGGTAGTGAGGCCAGCAGGGGGCGCTCAACCCGTGGTCTGTGTGAGTCCTAATGCCCCAGTAAAAGTGAAGGGGACACTATACTGTCAGTGGGCGCCGTCTTTCGGATGAGACGTTAAACCGAGGTCCTGACTTTCTGCGGTCATTAAAAATCCCATGGCACTTCTCGTGAAAGAGCAGGGGTGTAACCCCGGTGTCCTGGCCAAAGTCCCTCTATCGGCCCTTACGATCATGGCCTCCCAATCATCCCCTTCCACCCAATTGGCTCGATCACCGTCTCTCCACTCCACCTATAGCTGGTGTGTGGTGAGCGCACTGGCGCCGTTGTCCTGTGGCTGCCGTCGCATCATCCAAGTGGATGCTGCACACTGGTGGTAGTGTGGAGAGACCCCCCTCATGATTGTGAAGCGCTTGGGTGTATGGCCATACACAATAAATGCGCTATATAAATACACAATACATTACAACACTTTGTGAAACTTACAGTATTGTCTCTTTTCTATAAATCCCAGCGGGCTGTATTATATGTGACCTTTTAAACATCACTGTGACCTTGCTTTTAGATAGATTTAAAGTGATTTTTGTCTTTCATATTCCCCCTGGCATAATCTTTTGTTTCTCTCTTTGTTTTGTTCCGTTGTCTACTTTTGTTGTTATTGGAGTTGTACATTTTCTGTTTTTGTACTCTAGTTAAACGTTCCACATAAAAAAAACTGCAAACTTTGGATGTTTATATCAATTTTACATTTTTTAACCGTGAATTTTGTCACTGTTTGGGCACACGCTAGATAACAGATTAATAAAGGGACTACACCGAAAAGAAAATGAATTAACGAATAACGACAAAGGATACTATCCATCCATGAGGAATCGCTCCATAAGCCTGCAAATAAATGATCAAAGAATGTATTCAACAAAACATAACCTTACCAATGATAGAAATGAACAGTTTAGCAACACATGAAGCATACTTGGACTTCCCCACAGCGCTGTCTCCGAGGCAGATGATCTTCACTTGCTCATCAGAGTCATATTTGTCCAGGTCCAGGTCAGAATTTCCTCCTGCGTCCATGGCGAGAGTCCCGAGCCGCGGCAGCAGGAGTTTAACACTGAGCCTCTTACAGCCGCGGGATTAACTGCAGATAACAGCCGATAGGAGAGCTCCTACACCCGCTGCTTCACTCCATCACACACTCTCTAGCTTCCCGCACACCATTTACTTCATATTCACGATCGACAATGACAGAAACAACAGCGAATGTTATATTCCCTGATGTAAACCGACAGTGGCTAGCCTGCAGGCTAATTAGCAGATTAGCGCGTTTGTTTCACGAGCTTTATAACTAACTGCGTTAAATCCGTATTGTCTAGAGTACGTTATTGTCTAAAAGTCTTCCCAAGATGTGTTTAGAGCACGTCGTATGTTTGTTAGCATTAATCGCTGAACTGTGGATGACAAAGCATCGCAATCTTGTGCTGAAAAATCTGAATCTGCTTCCAGAAAATCCTCTGTGAACATGCACGACAACAACACGTCTCTAAGCAACGTCAGGACCCGTGAAGTGGCGCCAACGGCCAGGCTGCCTTTGAAACTGCCTGCTTCTGCTTAAAGTTTTTTACAGTCATTGGTTTAAAGGTATATTTCACCCAAAAAATGAAAGTTATTATTTTAAGTTTATTCTTCTTTATGTGGCTTTAAACTTTTATGAGTTTCCTTTGTTGAACACAAATATATTTTGAGGAATGTTGGTTTCTGGTATTAACTTCCATTGTAACATTAGGAAGTCACGTTATGGAAGTTGACTGGTGCCATAGATATTTACATTTAATGTCTCATACGCTATTGTCTATTGGAAGGAATGCATCAAGAGCCGCCATTTTAGTACAGAGTAGCACTTCTTTGAAATGAATGTGGGACCAAGGTGCGAGGACTTGCCGTCTGGAGCAATAGATATATATACACATATATAGATATATCCAGAGTTTTCCCTGTGGTCAATATGCAAATATTTTATAAATTACGAAATTTACAATTTGACATCACTTTTCTACATCGATGGATTTTTTTTGGCATTGCCAACAAAGAGTGTGTTTGTGCGCATGGAAATGTACTATTCACCCTACCTGTTTAATTTGATCTATGCCATGTCCTGAAACACACCCCCTCCCCTGCTTTCACTTCTAGGAGCGATTCGTTTGTGAATGAATCTCCGTTATGAATGACTCATGCGAACCATCGATTACCCTGCGTCTCAATGTGCATATCCACCTTTCTGATCTGTAACGTACATAACAATTGTAATATTCAATAATTTAGGGTGGGCATTGTGCACATTGAGGCGCAGGTACTGTTGTGTTATCATAAGTTACTTTAAAAACTAGCTGTTATTTCACTTAGCCGACAATAATACAAGCTTCTGGCACCACAGCATCTTGTTGCCATATTTCATTTACATAGTTTGCTTATTTTATTCAACAAAACTAGCATCAGTCTATATTTAGTGCGAGTTTGTGCTACTTTGTCTTATAGTCAGTGCAGTAAGTGACTGTATTATCATCTATACTCGTTGAGCACAAAAGTTCATAACATACAAAATCGTAAAAAGCTAAATCTTACCTATGAAATGTTCTGCCTTTATGCTTCGTTTTCTTTGTTCGCTTATTACTACACCCATACGCAGTGCAGAAGTCCAACATCTTCAGATTGGCGTTAGTCTTAGTGCGATTGAATGACATTTGTCCTGGGAGCACTGTACAAATGTGGCGGCGCTATTGACGCATGCAATATCTAATGTATATATCTATAGGTATCAGACCAAACAAGAAGCACTGCTTTAAATTCTGTTTTTCTGCTCCATGTTTTTAAAATATGGAAATTAATTTTACCTGAGTATTTTCAATAGTACTTCTGCCTGCTGCTAATGATGGTGCCTGCATTTAAACGGTCTTCCGTCTCTTTTTACGCTTTAACAACCAAATGGATGATTAAGTCTATTTAACTGATTATAATTAAATTACATTACAACACTGATGCTGTAAAATGAACCTTATGAGTCACATTAACCTTTCACCGAAGTTCATCATTGGCTGAAAAACACTAGCTGTGCATAAACCCCATTGGTGCAAGCTATCGTTACTAGCATAATTCAAAATATCTGCTTTTTTGCTCAACAGAAGAAATAAACTAGGCTTTAAACGAATGAGGGTTGAGTAAATGATTATATTTCTTTATTTTAGGGTAAACTATCCCTTTACTTTATCCTTTGCTTTTGACAGAGTGACAGAAAGGAAATACTGGTATCGGTGTCCCCCAAGGGTCAGTTCTTGGTCCACTTCTCTTTAGTATTTATGTGTTGCCTCTTGGTCAAATCCTGCAAAAATTTGATATTAGTTATCATTGCTATGCTGATGACACTCAGCTTTATATTAGCACTTCTCCAAATTTATCAGCATCTATGTCGACGCTTAACGCTTGCTTAATTGAAATTAAAGCCTGGATGTAACAATAATTATTATACAGTAATTATTTTAAACTGAATAGTTCAAAAACCGAGATGTTACTGATTGGCACTTCTTCTAAAATAAATAGATATAGGGAATTTGCGTTAACAGTTGATGAGTCTGTCTTATAACCATCTCTGCAGTTGTTTTCCTGGATGCTCAGCTTAGTCTGAAGCCTCATTTTAAACATTTAACTAACACAGTCTTTAATCATTTTAGAAATATAGCCCGCATACGTCCTTTCCTCTCGAGGCCTGATGCTGGAAGACTTGTCTTTGCTTTTATAATGTCTCGTTTGTATTTTTGCAACTCTCTGTTTGGCAGCTAATTCTCTCAAAATTTTACAATACATCCAAAATTCTGCTGCACGTGTGTTGACATACATGATCTCGGCCTCACATTACTCCTGTTTTCCAACTGCTTCACTTGCTGCCCGTCAAGTCTCGTATTGATTTTTAGACATTGATTTTAACATTTAAAGCTGTTCATGGTTCTGCTCCGGGTTACATTTGTGACTTGATATGTATTTCTTGTGCCTCTCGCTGTCTACGCTCTGCCTCGGGTACTACACTGTTTCAGCCTCATTGTAAACTCAGCACCATGGGAGGTAGGGCATTCTCTTACCATGCACCCACACTTGGACATCCTAGGTCAGTTTTTAATTTGTGTTATCTCTTACTGTGTTTTTACAGTATTTTTTATTGTTTTACTGTGCTTTGTTGTGTCTTGTAAGCACTTTGGGTCTTAGAAAAGTGTCTTAAAAATAAAATTTATTATTATTATTATTATTACTAGTAGCTACTAATGAAAAATATTTTAAATCTTGGCTCTAAGTTAGAATAGTACATTAGATGAAAGCAACATAAACTTTTTTGTGTCTAAATAGATCTTAATTCCATACTAGAAATAGAACATTCATAGTATTCATAAAACAGGAAGAGCAGGTCTGTGTCCAGGGTGAGTTCGGCTGGTTTGAAAGACCCATTGCTTAATGACAAAAGTCCATAATTTGTCCCATGCATGAGATCGTTTGCACTAATTTGACTGCTGTACCATCATAAATTGTGAAAATGACCCATTGAAAAAGGCTTTAAGACCAAGCCAAATCCTCTGTTGACCCTCACATTGGTGTAACTTCAGTCAGTCAGTTTTGGCCAATGCAAACTTTTATATTCCATGAGTCCAACATCCAGCTGTGCAAGAAAACATACAATTAGATGTAAGTGAAGTCATTTTTCGCTACTGTAGTTTTTGTAAATTAGGAAAACATTTTGCAAGTAGCGTTTATTTTAAATCTTGGACCTTATTCTTGAAACAAAAGCATGATAGATAAAAAGGTGTGAAGCGGCAAAAGCGGCCCATATTACAATTGATTTAAATACTAATTTGGCTATTGTTGTTATCCGGGAATTTTCAGTCAAATAAAAGTCATAAAGCTCTTTTATTATTATTATGTTTTATTTTGTTATTATTTAAATAGCCAAATTCTGACAGAGGAAATGTAATGGAAATGAGGAAAGTTGAATGTGCTGGCTGGTTTGTTACTTACCTAATAAATTACAATAGGCTACAGTTTTTAATATAAAACTTTAACATTCCTGTGTTTTATTTTGTAATGATATAAGATGTATTTGTTTTTAAAAATATTTATTCATATTTATTTATTCTAAATCTTTTGGAAATATTTTAGTAAATTAAAAAGTGTGGTTATGATGACCATTTGACAAGCTAATATCAGCTAAAAAATTGTGCTTCAAATGTCTCTAAAATGCAGTTTTGAAATATCATAATTAAATAGAAAATGAGGTGAATAACTGCAAAAACGTCCACATTTTAAGAAAAAAGAACCACTCCTTTCACCAGGCTGGCTACGGGCCTGAAGTGTGCTCCCAGCTGACAGGGAACATTCTCAGAACATTCCTGAAAAGTTGTGTCAATTTAGCATGTCACATCATTAAAATAAATCTTAAACAGTCTTGTAATGTTGACAGAAAAAACATTTTTAGAACATGTTCCTGGAATGTCTTCAGGGCGTCAGTTCTGAACATCATAATGTTGATAAAAAAATGTTCATAGAACATTAATGTTACAAGACTGGACTGGAATTAAAAAAAAATTTATAATGATACGGACAAACAGGAACTTTAATACAAAGTTTAAACAAAACTGTACATCTCAGTTTTCTAATAACTTTCCACAATTATGTTTTTGTAACTTACTAATATTAGGGAATTTGATTTGTATAATGTGAATGGACGTTGGGGTGTCATGGTGTCAGCAAGAGGTCGCTGGTTCGAACCCCGGCTGGGTCAGTTGGCATTTCTGTGTGGAGTTTACATGTTCTCCCCATGTTGGCTTGGGTCCAAAGACATGTAGTATGGGGGAATTCGGTAAGCTAAAATGTCCGTATATGTGCGTGAATGTGCGTGAAGGGTGTTTCCCAGTGATGGGTTGCAGCTGGAAGGGCATCCGCTGCATAAAACATATGCTGGATAAGTTGGTGATTCATTCCGCTGTGGCCACCCCTGATGAACAAAGGGACTAAGCCGAAGGAAAACAAATGAATGAATGAATGAATAGAACGTTGTAAAAACATTTTAATAACATTATTGTAACCAAACGATAATGTTAATATAACAGCAACAAAAACATATTTTAAAAGTTCACAAAAGATTTTATTTTAACGTTTTAAATTACTGCACTGGGGAAAAAAATGCTGGTTGTCTTACATTTTAAAGCTGAATCAAATTAACTTTATGGGTTCATTGAACTTACATTACGCTAAACTGACTTAAAACAGCTTGTGCAACTTATAAAATTAAGTTAGAACATGATTAACTTACTTTAGCAAGTGACAATGACCTAAAACATATGCTGTCAGGACTAATTGATCATATCATTTTTTACAGTGTGGTAACATTAGGGGAACATTTTCAGAACGTTAAATTGTAAACTGGGTTGATCACTGCGTCTGGATTTTCAAAAACTCATAAACAGGATGTGAGCTCAGCGTGTCTGAATTCATTGTTGGCTATTCAT